AGCAGAAAGCCCTGACTCGAGTCAGTAATAAAACTTCCCTTTTTGTAAATTGCATTGTCTTGGAAGTTCTCTCTTCCCACTCAGGGATTCGGACAACGGGCAGAACACTAACAGATTTAAACTATTAAAAAAAACCCTCTGTTTCTAAAGCTTATCTCAGTAATCTATCTTTGGGTGAAGATCAGATGCCTCATGAGCTGCAACTAAGACATCCTGCACAGGCAACTCAACAAGCCTCCATACCCACATGGGGGCAAATTACGTCGCCGTGCCAACAAGCACAGGGAATACCTTCTCTGCAGGGATCTTCAGCCTCTCCGGAAAGGGTGTTTATAGCTATGCTTGCTTCACTTTCTTGCCAGATAAATGCTACCTCTTCTACATCAGAAAAATATTGGGCATAAAAAAAAAAAAATGGGCATGTTTCCCTGATCCCCCAACTTTCCAAGTAGTTACTTGGAACAATGACCCTATACGGGTCAACACAAACCAGCCTCATCTCTTGGGAGGATCCTATACTTCTGATAATAAAGATCACTATCCCATTAATATTAACTGTACTTTTAGGGGATTAACAGATGATCTTCCCCTTTGCCTTAACTTCCCAAGAAATCTTATCACTCCCTCCCAGAAAGCAATTTTGACAGATTCTCCAACATCAAAATTTTCAGATAAAACAGGAGATCGGCTGGTGTGGATATTACAGGCCCGTATGCCCGGGGTCCTTGACCCCTATAAATCCTTGTTCCTCAACGCTCCACCAAAATATCCAAATTGTATTGATGTTGCTCCTTCAGACGTCATATGGAAAACTATAGACAACCGCCTTGGATACCTGGTATGGAAATCTTGTACTTATAATTCAAAAATAGATTATAGAATACCGGGAGGCGGAAACTATTCGGTACAAGACTGGAGCAATCCAAATCCAAGTCAGGATCCAGGATCTGTTCCTGACTATGTCAATAGGTTTAGCAATTGGAAAAATGATTCCCTCCCTTGGCCATTGGTGGCCAGCAGATGGCGCGATAGTCAATTTGTTCCCCCCATGTTGTCCTATACAACGAAGGGGAAAACTTTTTGGCGACCAGAAATTCGGAGAGCCCTTGCTGCCACCTCCCTTGTTACTCTATCTCGGCCGGAGAACGATTCCACC